AAAGAAGGAAGGAAAGAAAAAAAAGAGAGGAAGAAGGAGGGTTAATTTGATTTAGGGAGGCAGTCTCCCCTCCTATACTTTATTTGTTTGGTACCTTGCTTCCTTCCTCCTTTCTTCTATGCTCTCCTTCCCTCTCATTCCTCCCACTCCCTCTTCCATTTACCCTCCTCCCTCCTTAGGTAACAGGCTCCTTCTTACCCAGTCTCCTTTATTGTAGGACACAAATAAGAAGGTGACCATCATGTAGGCACATTTCAACAGGTTCCATTTGTTCCTTTTCTTGGGTGGTTTCTTGGTGGGGATAGTAGTTGGGGGAAGCTTAACTGGGAGAAATAGATGGAAATGACTAACATTGAAGGCATTCCCTCCACGTCTAGAAATTCCTGCTCTTTCTGAATCTCCCTTCCCAGCACAGATCTCCCTTCAAACTCCATGCCCATATCTCTGCATGCCTCCTGAACTGAAATGTTGGTCTATCATTGCTGGGTTCCTACAACCTCTCTTCTTCATCCCCAAGGCACCAGCCTCACCAGCTGTCCTGTTGACTACTGTTGTTTCACCTTCCTACTCCATACTTCCTCTCCCTCATACCATCTCCCACAGGGCCTGACCATGTCACCTCCTTGTTTCAAACCTAATGTGGTGTACAATTGTTTTTAGCCCACCCAACATTCTTTCCCTCTTTTTTCATTTTTCAAAATTTTTTAAATTTTTAAATTATAGTTGGCATACAATATTATATTAGTTTCAGGTATACAGGATAGTGGTTAAATGTTTATGTAAATTATGAAGTGATCCCCCTGATAAGTCTAGTCCCCACCTGACACCATACATAGTTGTTATATTATTATTAACTATATTCCTCTGCTGTACTGGTTTTTCACTTTAATTTTTCATGAAAATGTTACACACAAAAAACTCAAAAGTATTACAAATAAACTGTTAAATTTAAGTACAAAATGGAAACCAGACTTGAAAATTCCCTGAGCAGAAAAAAATGTTTTAAGCCACGTAAGCCAAACTAAACCTAGCTTATTTCATGAACATAATTGAAACTTAAGTTATTTCTGATAATCATAAAAGAAACTTGTAACCTTTTCAAAAAACGTTGAGATAATTACTTTTAAGCAATCCCCTGCCACCTGGAAACCTCCGTTGTAATAACCATCATTGTAAAGAGTGAATAGCTTCCTCATTTTCACTTTATTAGCCATCCTGTAATGTCATATTCATGAGTTTCATGCCAGTTTTGAATTTGAAAGCTCTGAGTTCAAGAACTTTTTTTACACGAACAATAAACCTTTACTTAATACTATTTTATTGATCTAGTGGTTTTAACTTTGCTATTTCTGGATTTTTGACTAAATACACCTGTCTAAACAGGCCCAAAATAAAAAAATAGAACACTGACCAGGGTAAATGCAAATCAAAAAAGAAAAAAAATAATAATGTTCACTGTTCTGACTTTTTATCTTCCTTCCTTCCATTCTCTTAAATGTGTGCAGTTAAGATGATAAATTTCCCTCTAAGCAAAGCTTTGGCTGCATCCTCCAGAGTTTGATAGTGATATTCTTACTGTCATTCAATTCAAAATTCTCATTGTTTTTGTGATTTCTCCTTTGGCCCATAAGTTATTTAGAAGTATATCTATTAATTTGTAAGTTTGGATTATCTAATACTTTTTATTGGTGATTATAGCCTAATTCCATTATACCCAGAAAGATACTTTAAATGACTTCAATCCAAAATGGATTGAGGCTTGCTTTATAAACCAACATATAGACAACTTTGGAAAGACAAAAATTTCATGTTTAACAAACTCATAAATAGAATCACAGAATAGTGGTTACCTATAAGGGGTGGGGGGAGGATGAAGAAGGTAAAGCATGAAGAAGGCAAGGTGGTCTGAATGCTTTGGATGTCCTTCAAAGGACATCCCCTCAGGTACTGAAGCCCTGACCTTGGTTACCTGAAATATTCACTTTTTTTGTAACCCAGACTGAAGGAACTCATTGTCCTCTAGATTCCATGCACTTACCTTCTTCTTTGCAGTCATTTGTTTCTTCTAAAGATGGAGGAGGGGGAGGAAGAGGAGGAGGAAAAAGAGGAGGAAGAAGAGGAGGAGGAGGAAGAGGAGGAAGAAGGGGAGAAAAAAGAAGAGGAGGTGGAGAAAGAGAAAGGAAGAAAGAAAATCATTAACAAATTGTGAAATGGATGGAGACCAAAATAACAGTGCTCTAGATGCCCTGGGATAAAAAGAGAAGGGAATGCAACTCACCTCCTTGCTTCCCTTGACCCCAGGCCCTCTCCTGCTTCATGGCCTCTGCACATCCTGTTCCCTCTGCCTGGAATACCCTTAACCCTCATACACATAACTGGCTCCCTCACCTCCTTCAAGTCTGCTGAAATGTCACTTTCTCTGATCACCCTTTCAAAACATATCAACCTCTCCCACACTGCATTTTTGCCACCTTTACCCTACTATCTGCATAGGACTTTTCAGTGTCCAACAGATTTAACCTACATTTTTTCTTTCTCTTCTAATTGGTTCCATCTGGATATGGATTTTTGTCCATTCTATTTTCTGCTATATCTCTAACATCTAGAACAGGACTTAGAACAGAGTAGCTAATATTAATTAGTGTTTGTTGTTGGATGAATGAAAAAATATTAAACATTTATGATGCTAATGATAATGATGATGACAATGAGTGTAGGATTTGATGATATCTAAAGTCTCCTTTAACATAAAAAAAAAACTAATAACTATTTCTGTATACAGGAGCAAAAACAAACAGTGGGGCCAAATAACAGTTACCACTTACCACTTAACACTTGGAGGCTCAGCAAACCTATGGAAAACAATATTCAAACAACATATAACATACAAATTGAATTACAAAAGGCAGCATAGTAAACACCCCTAGACCAACAGCTTCAATAAGTTCACCTCAAGCTACCTCTCACCTTTTCTCACTGCCCCTCCCTGAGGACATTGATTCCTATTGTATCATAACTATTTGTCTGTCTCTCCCATCAAACTATGAGTTTATATGGTGGTACAGCATATCAGCTTCATTTTTTGGATTTCTGCCACCCTCCATGGTTCTGGCATACGCTAAGTGTTAAAGAATGTTTTCGCCAAAAAAACTTCTCCACCAAAATCCCCAGGCATGCACAGAGTGAAATATTCACCTAGGATCTCTGATGTTGCCCATCCAGAAGGAAGTATGGTTTGGAGGCAAGACCATGATCATGGTGACAGACAAATTCCAGGGTGTTGAGTCCAAGAGACCATGAGAGATGAGACCATAAGTAGGAAAAAAAAATCACATGATCAGAAGGCAGGCGATTGGGAGTAAATGGCAGCAGAGCCCAGGTGGGTCATGGTGAGCAGTTAGGACTTATGGCAAGGAACCAGGGGAGACCACCAGATGCTTTGTCATATGGGTCAGAGGCGAAATCTAATGACTTAAATGGCTTGCATTGGTTGAGAAGGCAGCCACCACTCCTTCTTCATGTACTTAGTGTCACCATTTGACATACCTTACATACCTCAGACGAATAATGCCTACCTTGTGAAGAAGTTTTGGGGGGAATACATAACGTAATATGTTAAAGTTTCTGCTTCTGGTGTCTGGTGCCTAGAAAACTCTTAAAGACTTTAAATTATGGTCGTCATCATCATTATCATAACATTGTCCTTATCCCTGACTTGATAAGGGGGTTGGTTCTCCTGAGGTACCCCATCTTTCTGAAGGGGAAGGTAATGCAGATTTTTTTCCAGTCTCTAGGCTAAAGAGGAAAATTACCTGAGAGATAATCCATGGCTAGGAATAGACCCTTGCACAAACATAAGAAAGCAAACATGGCAGAAGGAGGGAGGGGCAGGGATGGGAAAGAAGAATCTTACGTTTCAATACTGATGAGATGTGAGCAGCAAGGAGGAGAAAATCCAGTAGGAATCATTGACATCAACAGAAACAGAGGGGAGAGGACAAGAAAGGTATTAATGACTCCTTCTTAGCTCATTTCACCATGGTGGTTCTCAAGAGAGCCTCACGTAGGAGGGAAATCTCTCAGATTTCATGGGATTGGCTGTGAGCCGAGGTGGGTGATTCTAGATGCTTCTACTGTACTTGTCTCTTTGGATACACATTCATCCAGGTGGCCAGAATCCCCAGGTACCTGATTTCCTTGGGTATTCATCCCATTTGGTCATGAACCCACCTACATCCCAGGCACACTCTTGATATTTTCCATTCAATCTCAGGGTGTGTGGACCCAAGCAGCTCATTCTGAGCCTCATTCAGAGGTGGAGACAGTAGATTGGGACCTCCCTTAGCAGAGGATCTCTTGTAACCTGGTTCTTAAATTGAGAAGAACCCCCAAATCCCCTTCTCTTTCTTGTTTTCTCTTCTTTCCAACATCTAAAAACATCCAAGTTACCCACAGAAAAAAAAGAAATAACTTACTTTTCACTGGAGGGTGCAACAGAATCAGAAGTAAGAAGTCCACATGGAAAAGAGTGAGCAAGAGAACAGGATCAACCTTCACACCCACTGGTACATTCCATTATTCTTCATTAAATATTCTTCAAATGATTAAGTTTTTATCTGTACTAATTATAGATTCACAAAATATTGCAAAAATAGTACAGAGGGGTCCTGTGTACCCATTGTCCAGCTTCCCTCAGTGGTAGCATCTTGCCAGTAAGTTGACATGGCATAATACTGTTATCGACCTTACTCAGATTTCACTAGTTTTTTTCATGCACTCATTTTTTGGTACTTTATTAAATATTCATCAATCTCACAGTCATAGGGAGGCTCTCTTAAAATAATGACATCATTATCTTGCTTTATAAATGGAAGAAGAAAGATTCATAGTCACTGAGGGTGTTTAGTTTAGTGATCCAAAGCAGGTGAATACCATTGAATCACCACCTCTCCATCTCAAGAGGAGAGGGGAAGCAGGACTTGAGATGAAAGATCTGCAATTGCATTTGTCTACTGCACCTGCATGCCGGAGCTAGTTCACAAAAGACGATGGTTAAATTTGGGGGGACTTTACAAGCTGGCTGTGAAACCATTAATAGCTTGAAACCAATTATAGTTAAAGTATTTACACCATAGAAATTGGCAATTGCTCCAAATTAGGGCTCCCTTCCCCACCCATCACACACAGAGATGTCTGTTAAACTTCTACCAGCCTGCCACAGCTTCCATTCTTCACTGGAGTCTGTTAGCACTGATTATGCTCCTGACCCCAGGCCAATGTCTAAATGCCAGGGCCCATCCACAGAATTTTGGAGGAGTTTCCATGCTTAGAAGGCATTCCGAGAAGGTAATCTCAAGGACACAAACCCAAGACTATCATAGTACTTACTTTCTTCTTCTGTCCTATCTGGAGGTGAGAATGCAGGGAGCCAGGTTCCAATGAAGGTGCAGAGTAAAGAGAGAAATCAACATTAAGGCTGGGATCCTAGACCCTCACCAAGGAAGTGTCCCTGACCAGTCAGAGGAAAGCAGAGGCAGAAGTGCTACCAGAGATGAGGCAGATAAGACTCACATTTTATCATGTAGTTCATCTTTCTCTCTAAATAATATAGATGAGACATCCATCATGTGCATGGTATGGAGGACACATGGAAAGCTATGTGAGCAAGGTCCCAACGCACAGGGAATGTCAGTGAGCTGAGTCTAGTCAGAGAAGCAGGAAACAGAGTCATACACTGAGCACTGAGTACAGGTGGGATGTGTGTTTCTGGGTAGACCTGCAGGATACAATGGGAACCTATAAAGGCGATAGTTGCTGACTTTTCGGGGGGTTCCAGGGAAGGCATCTTACAGGATTTGTTGCTGGGTCTGAAACCTGAAAGATGAGTAGGGGTTAGCCAGGTGAAAACATCTGGAAAGGGAGAGAGTAAAGCACCCCAGGCAGAGAGAACAGTGTAGACATGGTGTTGGGTGTGAACGCGTCCATCTGGAGTTTTGGAAGGATCAAGAGAGACTCTCCGTGGGGCACAATAGTAGAAGAAGACTGTGGCATGAGAGTATCTAGAGCTAGAGAATGCAGGAAGTTGAAAGGTGCTTTATGTAATTCTTGTTAGTTGCCACTTTGCCTTTGATGCACCGTTTCTTTCCAGCGCTCAATTTCCCCATTTGTACCCTGAGTCAGATAATCTCCAGACCCGTAAGTCCGTGACTGTCCTGGACCACCTCAACTCCAGGTCAGAGGTCTAGGTATTAGGTTATTATGCCTAATCATGATTATATTACATTGATCTTGGCCTTCATGGCCATTTCACATGTGGAATAAAAAGCATGTTTTGCATTTTTATAAAATCTAGCTGCCTTTTGAGGAGCGAGGTTCTGGTTCACAGAAGGCTGACATTTATGAGTTAGTGGATTATTTGAGAGTGGGCATTAGGGAGAGCTGAGTAATTCAGCCTGTTAGAAGAAATAGAGAGATGAGGAGTGAGCAGATCCACTTAAGTGGAGAAAGTCATCTACTCAGGGTTGTCACTACTCTTGACACTCTAATCATCATGAAAACTGGTTATCATGAATATGAACAGATTCCTTGTGGGAACCAGTGAAGGAGAGTGCTGCTTTCAGAGTAAGGAGAAAACAGACAATTCAAAGTGGAGAGAACACTCAGAAATTGTTATCTCATAAGTAGCAGAAACCATAAAGAGGGCTTTGGACTCCAGAATCCATGAAATGGTGGGTTGAGGAAGTTGAACCAATTTTAATCAGCTCTCTAGTACCTGAGTTTTTAATATATTTTTTTTCTTAACATCATATTGCTAGCCCTACTTTAAGGGGAAGAAGACAGACTTTTCCCTGGTCCATATGCTGGCAAAGAATGGAGCTGGGTTGAAACTCCAGGCACATCTGTTTTGACAGCCTAGCTGACATTCCCTCTATTTAGATCTCTAGATCCAGGTGCCTTCTATGTAGCAGAGTCTGAACTGTGATTATGGCCAAGATCTCAAGTGGACACAGGTTCAGCTTTAACTCCCACATGGTGATAAAGTAATTCCTTTTATAATTCTTTCTAGAAGAGAGAATGTTTCTTATAATTCCTTTTATAATTCTTTCTAGAAGAGAGAATGTTTCAAAATGATGCTGACATGTTGACAACACCTCTCTAATCATCCTTTCTACCAAAGAGAGAACAGCTTCCAGACAAAGAGTCTCAGCAGAAAACAGTATCACATTATAATTTATTAACATTTTGTTTTCGTTATACTTATTTTTACAGTTGTCTCTTCCTTATAGCAAAGGATATTGGCTTTATACTTACTCAAGTGGTAAAGACTTTCCTTTTTGGGCATATCTATTTAAGTAAAATACTGAGGCCATTTAAAGAAAAATATAAATGATAGCATTGGTAGTACATGGATGTGACAGGGACACCTATTGGGGTTCAGTCTATCTGTGAAAAATGAGGACTCATTTTTTTCCAGTCATCCCATTAACAAAAATCAAAAAGGTAGATAATACCTTATGTCGCCAAAAGTGTGGGGAAATAAGCATCCTTGTAGGCAGTTGATGAAAGTGTAAATTTGCTAAACCTCTGTCCAAAGATAAAATGCCCTCTGACCCAGTCATTTCCCTTCTAGGAATTTATCTTACAGATATGTATATGCAAAATAAGAAAAGCAATGACTGTACAGGATGTTCCTTGTAGCATTGTTTGCAATGGAATAAAAATGAACTGAAATCAAAATATATTGGAGAAAAAACAAAACATCCATGAACAGGAGATTTGTTAACTTACATAAGCATGAATAAAATATTATTCAGGTATTTGAAAGAAAGAGGTAAAATTCTAGTGCTGAAAT